AACATAATGAGGTCAGGTCAGTGGAAGTTTGAGCAAAACCCGATTTAAAATAAGAAAGTTATGTATTTTGGAAGTTTCGATCAGTCAAACACATATTGGCTACTCGATCTGTGACGTATCTTTAGGGGGCTATTCCCATTTGCTATGTTTAAGAAAATTTAGAACTTTCTATTTTCTCACTATAATAATAATAATAATAATAATAACGTTTTATTTACCCAGGGTAGCCACTTCAGTTATGAAACTGCTCTTCCAGATGGCCCTGCATAACATGATATGTTATTACTACCCTTCTCCAATCTAATATGCTGAGCGCCAAGCTAGAAGGCAGAAGGTCCCATTGTTTTAACTCTTTGGTATGACTCGGCCGGGGTTCGATCCCACGACCTCCAGTTCATGAGGCGGGCGCTCTAACCACTGAGCCATCATGCCCGGTCTGAAAATTCAATCGTGAATGCACCATTATTATAATTATTGTATATATGTTTTCATACAACCGACGTATGAAACAAATCTACTCCATCATTAATACCTAAGAAAATGTTATGATATATTCTGTACAGAGCAAACTGGAGAGGACCTCGCAAGATACGTCAGTATTGGCAATTGTTTTTCACTGATAACATCTTCAACAATTCATAACTTTCCTATTTTTAACCCTGCCCCCCCCCCCCTCCACGATTTTTCCGATGGCTCGGGAACGCATATGGATGGTGCCCCGCCGCGCCGCTCGCTGACTTTTTTCTTTCGAGTCTTGCGCAACTTTCAATTTTGTTGTTGTTGAATCGGACCTACAGTTACAAGGTCACGTGACCTTTTGTCTTTGCATGTCAGCCCGAAAATCGCTCATTTTTGTGTTTTGTGTACAAAACAAATGGAAATGTCATTTTTCCTAAAAAATTGGTTATTGGGTCTTGTTTAAAGTTAAGGTGGTTGTTTTGGGAGTCAAAATAGTTGAATTGTAGTAAGAAATGAAATAAAACAACTAAAACAATAAAATACATAAGTTAAAAAAACAATGAAATACGTAAGAAATTATAAAAACGGAACAAGGAACAAGGAACAAGCTGGCTCTTTCAATTTTTTTTTGTCGTATTTTTATTCCAAATGGTCTAATGAATATATGTAGTGAAAAAGAATGCTTAAATATGAATAATATATGATTTATGGGTAAAAATGTGATTTTATGACCTTATTTGCATAAATTACCATAAATATGCAAATAAGTGAATTTTTCAAAAGATTGAAATTATCATATTATTCATTACACTTTTCGCGGAGATCGGCCTCTTCATGGCCAAGATCTTAACGAGGGGGGATAATGCCCCCCCCCCCCCCCCGGCCGTACTAAGACCTCAAATAGCCGGTCTTTTTAGGGTTAATTGGATATTGCTCAAACTTTTACTGACCCGTTTTTCTAATTATGCTGCTTCTATTAATACCAGCTAATTATCAGCGTGGAATTCCCCTGAAATCCATTCAAAAACACATTGATACACATGAACATATACACTTACAAACAAGGTTCGTGTAGTGATTCAATAAAGGACAACAAACAGACATAATCATCATTGCCCTTATCATAAGGTGCTAGAATATACAATTTTATTCTTTTTTTCTTGAAATAGGTCAAATAACATAAAGAAAATATAATATCTGCTTATATATATATATATATATATATATATATATATATATATATATATATATATATATATACATGTACCGTCTTACAAAATATATAGCTTTACTTTAAGTTTCCAGATATATTACTCACCAGTAGACACACACTTTATCACATTAACCGGTGTACTGTTTTGAATTATTCACAATATACACTGTCGCTCATAAAGGTGGAATATTTTCTGAACGGCCATGCATTATGGCTCAAGGCATGGGCACACAGAAGATTTTGTTTATGTTGGGAACCGAGGTAAAATGCAATAAATTATTGAAAATTTATTGCATTTTCTGTTTTTTTTTAATTTATGAAAACTGCCCCCTACCCTAGCCCCCGCTGCGTACAGTCATGGTTCAGTGACAAAGCAATAGCCTCGTAACTGTGAGGCCCCAGGATCAAAACCGTGTCGATGTGGTATATTAGTGCCCTTTTGTGGGGCATTAATCCGCATTACTGTCATTTATGACTTAAGGGCGTAGGTCCCCTAGTTGATAAGCATAGTAGCATACACATGCTTTAGAAGTCACGCAAAACAAACATTGGCAAATTGTCATTCAATAAAATCTGAGTATGTATACTATTATCTAGATCTATTATTTTAAAATTATTTTTAAAATAATTCCATAAATTGGGGTAAAAAAAAAATTCCACCTTTATGAGCGACAGTGTATGTGATGTTCAAGATTGCATCTGGAACGAAGTTACAAAATCAAGTACTAAGTGCAATGATACAGTAAACATCATCATTATAAATTATTATAAAATATTATAAATTTCTCTTGAAGTATTGCCACAACAATTTTCGAAAATGTATTATTTTGTAATAAATCCAAAATTTTTCACTTTCTCATACACACAACAGCTTGACTATTGCTGAATAATCCTTTGGTCCTTTGGTCCTTTTCACAAAGAAAGATGATCTTTGAATGAATGCCCATTTATCAAACTCTAATAGTACTGGTTAACATAAAAGGTGCATTAACAAATATGCCTGATTACATGAAGTTCAAATGAAAATGCACAGGAAATATCTCACTTGGTTCATAAATACAGTGAAACCTGTCTACAAAGACCACCCAGGGGAGACAAGAAAAGTGGTCTTCATAAACAGGTGGTCTTTATGTACAGGTTCTTTTAGTACATGTTTCAATGAGAAACCATTATCAAGGGAAACAAAAATGTGGTCTTTGAAGACAGGTGGTCTTTCTATACAGGTGGTCAATAAAGCAGGTTTGACTGCAATTGGTGTTCATGGCACCATAAGTTTTCACAAGGAGGCATTTTCAAAATATTGATGCTTGAATAACCCTCGAGTGATAGTACCATGCATTCTTTCCCATCAAGATGCAAACAAATTGACTCACAATTGCACAATACACAATGCACAGTTTGTAAACCTGCAGATATTGTAACACCGTAAAAAGAATGAGGTATATTTTTTGTAAGTGGTTGAATTTTTTACAGCAAAGAAGTGACATTTTTTGGTTCATGTTTCTGAATGGGGGGGGGGGGGGGACATTAGCTTCCAATACATTCATACTCAATGATGAATCCCATATCAAGATTTAATATCACAAGATGATAATCAATATGTCGTCAATCAAAGCTTTCTGAAAATTATGTTACGTGCTATTCTAAAAGAAGGTACTATATCATAGCAGCTCTTATCGACATTCAATTAGAATATTTGACATTTTTCCTTTGAACACCCCCCCCCCCCCATGCCCCGAAAAAAGGAGGTATATTTATGCGCATATAATTGATGCTCTTAAAGGGAAAGTCCACTCCCAAAATAAGTTTGTTTCGATAGAGGCAGAATAATAAGAAAATCAGGTGAGTGAAAGTTTGAGCAAATTCTGAATGAAAATAAGAAAGTTATGAATTATTGAAGTTGTGATCAATCAAATACAAATTGGCAACTCTGTGACTTATTATACGAGCTCTCTTTCATTTGCTTTGTGCATAATATTCCATAAAATCATGTTTTCTTCGTTATTGATGACGGAATATATATTTGTTCCTTGCAGGGGGAGTATAGAAACATATTTGCAATTATTATATTTAGGGTGCATGTATGGTTGAAATTTTTCTTGAGGGAAAATGAAAATTTTAGATTTTTTTAGTACTGAGCAAATGGAAGTTGAGCTCGCATGATACGTCATAGAGTTGCCAATTTGTGTTTGATTGATCACAACTTCAAAAATCCTAACTTCCTTATTTTTAATCGGAATTTGCTCAAACTTTCACTGACTTGTTTCTCTCATTTTTCTACTCCTATTAAAACTAACTTAATTTCAGGGTGGACTTCCCCTTTAAAGTAAATGTGCGCTGTTACACTCTTTCTGTATATTCATGAAATATATAGTGTATTAAGACGTAATAAATCTACATCAGATCAAGTAATTAGTTTGACATTCCTGCATTCTGAGAGCTGCTCAGAAAAACAATGTTCCTTATGATAGACCTTAACAGGAGGCGAAGAATAAGACAGATCAAGTAATCCTCCACAAATGACAAACTATCACTTCTCACTCCATACTGACATTGTATCAGGTAGGCATTATGTCACTGTACTCTTTCCAGCTTTACACCTGATATTATTATTTATGTGTACTTAGTATCGGATCGCTTTGACATATCTAACCTAATTAATATTGTATCTATTCATTACCGTTTATTTTTAAATTTGTGTATTCAAGTTCATTAACCTCTATTAATAGAGAGCTACAACATAAATCACAACATGGAGTATAAAAAGATAGATACCATAATATCTAGTAGCTTGTAACCTGGTAATCACCATGGTATCACATTAAGCTCTATCAAAGGGACTCTGTAACATTGCATCAGATTCTGAAACAAAATCCTGGATTAAGCTTGTGCTGCAATCATAATTATTAACCTTTAGGTCAGTCAGGAATCCAACGACTTTTACAAGCGGATTGCCTGTATGATTATCAAGATGTTTATGAGTGGAAATCGGTTTTTATAACACTGCAGTCTTTGGGGGAAATGAGTATGGTAAATCCTGTCACTCAAAGACTTTTACTTTTTTGAGCCACTTCATGATCATTTTGAAGGGGGGGGGGGGGGGGGGGGTAAGAGGACACTTTTTTTTTGTTTTTTTTTTTGTTTTGGGGGGGGGGTCTCGAAATTTGAAACCTTGACATTTTACTCCGTAGGGGGGGTAAGGTCACTTTTTTTTTAGGTAAGTCATTGGCATAGTTTTTTTTTAGTTTTTTTTTTAATTAATAAAAAAATAAAATAAATAAAATAAAAAATCCGCCAAAGGGGAGTGTTTTGCTCAAAAATACACACATAACAAAAAGTAAAGGGGGGGGGGGTTAACCCCAAAACCCCCTGCGTACGCACCTGGCTTCAATAGAGCTACAACATACATCACGATACAGAGTATAAAGAGATAGAAACCATATTACAGCTTGGAACCTGGTCATCACCATGGTATCACTATCACTTGAAGCTCTATCAATAGAGCTACAACCAGTATTACGCCATAGAGAATAAAGAGATAGATACCATAAAACCTCGCAGCTTGGAACCTGGTCATCACCATGGTATCACTATCACTTGACGCTCTATTAATAGAGCTACAACCAGTATTACTCCATAGAGAATAAAGAGATAGATACCATAAAACCTCGCAGCTTGGAACCTGGTAACCACCATGATGAACATGGAAGAAAGAAGACTCACTGCTAAACCCAGGGCAAGAACTAACTGGACATCGTCCGTGTGGAGCTGTTAACAAAAAACACGGCAATAGGCCATTTTCGTAATGTAACCAAATTTATGCATATGCCTCTGTGAAGCTCCTCATACAAATTATTTAATTCACCTGTTTCGAATAAATGCATTTCAATAGCCAGAATTCAAATTGCATACATTATTCGTCGCTAAGTAGGAAAAACATTATGGCATGCCCTACCTAACAACACGTAATATATGTAATTTGCACTCTGACTATTGAAATACAATCATTATTATTCATAACAGGTAAATAACACAATTCATATCAAGTATAAATTTGGTTACATTACAAAAAAAATATCCCATTCAAGGTTTGAATCACAAATTGGAATTGATTAAGAATGGATGAACATCCAATTTAAAGCAGTGAGGCTCATAATTAGAGGACCACAAATACAGCTACGATCCTATATTCTGTATTCATCACATGGTCTATCCAGTGGCGGGTCCAGGGGGCCCCGGGGGGGGGGGCCCGGCCCCCCCCCCCCCTGGAAAAAAGGGAAAAAAAGAAGGGAAAAAAGAAGGGAAAACAGAAGGACAAAAATAAGGAAGGACAAAAAAGAAGGACAAAAAAAAGGGGAAAAAGGGGGAAAAAGAGTGAGTGAAAGAGAGTGAAAGAGAGAGTGAAAGAGAGAGAAGGAGAGAGAGAGAAAGAGAGAGAGAAGGAAAAGAAGGGAAAGAGGAGAGAAAGGGAAAGAAAGAAGAGGAAGAAGAAAAGAAAAGGGGAAGAAGGAGATCGGGGGGCCTTACCTCCTAGGCTGTTGCCTCCCCCCCCCCCCCCCCCCCCCCCCCCATCCAATCACAAAAATAAGAGAGAAGGAAGGAAATGGAAAGAAAAAAGGAAAAGAGGAGATAAAGGGAAGGAAATTGGGGAAGAAGAAAAGAAAAGAAGGGGTATTAGTTGCAATTTTCCCGCCAACAAGTTGTGGATCGGGGTGGGGGTGGGGCAAAAGGCCCTTGCCTTCCCCGCCCCCGCTAAAAAAGAGAGAAGGAAGGAAAAGGAAAAAAGGAGAGCTAAAAGGGACCGAAAAAGAGGAAGAGAAAAAAAGGGTGAAAAGAAGGGGAAATAGATCTTTTGCGATTTCCCCCCCAACAAAGTGTAGATCGGGGGAGGGGGGGGGGGGGGCTCGGGGAAAATAAAAATTAATCGTGATATATTTCTAATTCCATAATTGTGGTTTACACATAATGCTGAAATGACATAATTTTCCGAGATTTTTTCTCATTTTTTAGTAAATTATATTTTTTATGCGTTTGGTGTAAAATGACAAATTCCTAAATTTACAGCCAGGCGAGAAATATGCCTCTTGAGATGCCTACATGTCAGGGCCCGCGGAACGGCGGTGATCGGGAGCTTCCAGCTCCCCCCCCCCCCCCCCCCCCCCCCCCCCCCCCCCCCCCCCGAATTTTTTGGAAAATAATATTAAAGAGAAATAGAAAGAAAGAGAGCAAGAAAGAAAGAATAGTTAACTGCCAGTGTCACAACAAAATAAGGTATAAAAAATGTTCATCTGACCGTAATTAAACGCCTAAAACCCCTGAGCTTACGGGGGCTCTGCCCCCGGGACCCAACCAAGGACCCTAAGGCGGGCCCCTTGATACTCATCTGACCGTAATTTAGTGCCTAAAACCCTTGACCTTATGGGGGCTCCGCCCGCTGGACCTCACGCCAATCAGTGTCCTGCCAGTGTCACAAATAAGGTATAAAAATATGTTTATCTGACCGTAATCAAATGCCTGAAACCCCTGAGATTCCGGGGTTTCCGCACCCTCGACCCCACCAGGGGCCCTAAGACGGGACCCTGAATGCTTATCTGACCGTAATGTATTGCCTTAAACCCCTGAGTTTCTAGGGGCGGACAAGGTAGCCAGGGGCGGTGGGGCCCCCCCCCCCAAGAAAAAAAAAGCCGGCCAAAAAAAGAGAGGATAGAAAAGGACGAGGACGTAGGAAGAACTTGAAAAAAGCAGACAAAAAACATTTTAGAAATTCAGACAAGGATTAAGAATCGAAAAAGGTACAACGATCGTCTTCTTTCTCTAATAATTTAATGAAATGTCAAAGCCATCGCGCAGGAGGGGGGGGGGGGAACTGAATCGAGACAAGGGTTAAGAGTCGAGAATGGTAATACAAATCGTCTTCTTTCTCTAATAATTTAATGAAACGTAAAAGCTTCCAAGAACAGAGGACATTTCTTTGAAGCCCTAACCTAATACTGACAACAACCATAATCATTGTTAGTTAAATATTGATGAGCTGAATTTTTGGATGGCACAGGGGTGATATAGTGAGCACTAAAAAAGGTTGTTTTTTTCACTCAACCACGCCCACCCTTGAGTAAAAACTAGATGGAACTTCGACTGCGCGCAGACGAAAGTGATGCCTCCGTCATAGAGCAATTTTACAAACCAAAACGGAAGAAATTTTTCAAATTCAAGTCCGGTTGTAATCCATTAACAGGCTCTCAGAATATCGTGATTACAAGCTATTTCTCATATACATGTATGACCCTTTGATCTTTGACCTCATGACCCCAAATGCAAGATACACACATGTCTTGAGTTTGATGGTAATCCATCCATCAGTTCTAATGATAATGCAATCACAAGCTATTTTTGCATACATAATGAGCCCCATGACCTTTGACCTTGACCTCATGACCCCAAAATCTAATCAGTTCATTGCCTCAGCAAGATACATACATGTCCTGAGTTTTATGGTAATCTGTCCATCTGTTCTATTAATAATGTGATCACAAGCTAATTTTGCATACATAATGGGCGCTGTGACCTTTGACCTATGACCTCATGACCCCAAAATCTAATAAATTCATTGGCTCTGCAAGATACATACATGACCTAAGTTTGGCAGGAATCCATCAATCGGTTCTTGAGATAACGCGATCATAAGCAATATTTTTGCATACATAATGAGCCCTGTGACCTTTGACCCCAAAATCTAATAAATTCATTGGCTCTGCCAGTTGTATACATGACCAAAGTTTGGTAGGAATCCATTAGTCGGTTCTCGAGATAACGCGATCATAAGCTATTTTTGCATACATAATGAGCCCTGTGACCTTTGACCCAAAATCTAATCAATTCATTGGCTCTGCCAGTTGTATACATGACCAAAGTTTGGTAGGAATCCATTAGTCGGTTCTTGAGATAACGCGATCACAAGCTATTTTTGCATACATAATGAGCCCTGTGACCTTTGACCTCGTGACCCCAAAATCTAATCAATTCATTGGCTCTGCAAGTTACATACATGACCAAAGTTTGGTAGGAATCCATCAGTCGGTTCTTGAGATAACGCGATCACAAGAACGGGACGTACGGACGTACGTACGGACGGACAACCCGAAAACATAATGCCTCCGGATACTTCGTAACGGAGGCATAAAAAAGAGGATTCGGTGGGGGAAAATGGCATCTAACAACATTCCCCCTTTTGAGGAAGAAAGTTGGGAAAAAAATAGGGAAAAATAGGGAAGAATAGAGATAATAGAGATAATAAGGGAAAAATCAGGAAAATATGGATAAAATGGGGGGGAAAAAAGAAGATAAACCCATTAAAACTCATTATTATAACGACACACGTAGGCAGACAATGCTCCACTGAAGAAGACAGGATTGTAATATTGATTCGTTCTCCAAATTTCAGAACAGATTTATGAAATACATATGAGTTACAAAGAGTTACGATTGATCTGAATCAATCGTAAGACCTCCAATCAATCGCAAGTCTGCAGTCCCCTATCACTTATAATAGTTGCAATTGATATCAACTCTTTATCAGACGGGGCCCAGGGGGGTGTTTCACAAAGATCCTAAGTTGAACTTATCTCTAAGTTGGACTTAAAAAATATGGAAAGCCATTAGCATCTTTGAAAATATTTTGTAAAAGTTATTTTGAAAGGCATTCATTGTTTATTGAAATCATTCATATTTTCTATCATCAAGGAGATTTCATGTTCTGGATGTGGAATTAATAAAAAGTCAAAAATACTTGAATTTCTGCTTTTGAATATATTTCATTTAAAGACTCCAATGGCTGTCCATAAATTTTAAGTCCAACTTAGAGTTAAGTTCTACTTAGGACCTTTGTGAAACACTCCCCTGGAGTATAAAAAATGTGTCAATATCATAATTACGAATGGAGGGAATACATCAAAAACAACTTGAAGGATTGCTTTTCGAAAAAGCATCCCGACCGCGTAGCAATAAAGACGACTTACCACAAATGTGCCCCCATCTCTGACTGTGACAATGGTACATGATATACCAATACCTAGCAGCATATCTGGGCAGCGCAAAGGGTTAAGAAAGAAACTGAAATCAAGCGAGGCATTTGATATTTTTTAGAGGCCAATCACATCTATTTCCTATAATGAATAGATATTAAATCACCTTGCTATCTGAAATAAAGTTATTATCAAATGGCTTGTGTGTAACTGCTTGATATTTTTTTTTTCATTACTGAACTTTACCATTGATCAAGAAAATTAGAAAAAGAAAGAAGAAACTCACAATTCTGTTGTTTAAGAATACCATTCTAACAAATAAACTACTTCAACGGACGTTATGCAGAGAAACTGTCTTCATAATGACATGGGCAATTCAATAGAAAATGTTCACTAGCCCAAAATCATAAATTTGGCAATAACTCCAGAACTATAAGTGACACTTTCAGTAGAAAATTTGATATAAAAAAGAGCACAACAAGCTCTTTATTTTGAGTGGTATATCCGTAGGAATTAAGTGCATTTACCGGTTTTCACACTTCTTCAAAATTCTCACTATTAAGGCAAAATGTGTTAACATTTTTAGGAAAAGCATCCGATACGATTAGTACATTATGATGAAGTTATCACAAATTACTGACAAGAGCCTTACATGACACATTAAACATGTTTAATAAAGCAAAGATAGAGGGGTTTATAAAAGCTGACAAAAGTGTCATGTACGTTATGCTTAATCTGTCATGTCCATTACCAGGGGCGTACGCATGATTTTTTCAAGGGGGGGGGGGGTTAAAATCGGGCCCAAAATATTTTGCTCCTGGATATTTGAAAATCGCGCCATTCTGTGTCATGTCGTTAAAAGGACAAAGAGTTTATTTTCTCTTGAATTATTCAGTGGAATACAGTGGAATTTTTCTATGTATGTGACTGACAGTCAAATGTGTCTGAATCACTGACTGAAATATATTTTTAGGACTCTTAATATAAGAAAATGGGGACCATGGGGGTCCAATGGTCACCCCTTAGGCATTGTTTGCTATATAGACGGCGCAAGTAGCTATAAGTAGTGCAGTGGGGCATTAATAAAAGTTGTAAAAGATACTGAACATAGGTCCTCCAAAGCAAGCTGACATGCCCATGGTTGGGAATCCTTGCTTGGCCATTGCAACATCAGCTACTAGATCTGAAAATAAGGAAATCTAAGGGTTATTAACATTGCATGAATTACCATACAAGAGTGTTGAACCCCAAATTCTCCAAATATTAAGACATTGTCTTTTTAAAATGGAATGGAAGATAATTTTGGATTAAAGAGCGATCCAACTCTTGTAATAAGTTCATTTTTTAAGAAAGAAGAAAAACAAGATAAACCGAATGGCAAAAGTTTGAAATAAATCGGACCAATAATATAAAAGTTATGAATGTTTGAAATATGAGATCGCTAAGTCTATGAAAATCTCATATTGGCAGTTTGATTAGTGGATTATAATGTAGTCGCTGATGACTCTCCTTTTGCCATGTACTACATATCATTAATTCTTGTTTATCTCCTATCGATAAGGTGCCTTCTCCCTCGGGGCACTACTCAAAATATGTTATGGATAGAGTATCAGCATAGGACGTCTTCAGAGAAAGGACATTCCTGAGTCAAACATTTTAGAAAAACTGAAATTTTAGTCATTTTGTGTGTTGGTGGTTGTGGTAGTGGTGGTGGTATTGGTAGTAGTAGTAGTAGTAGTAGTAGTAGTAGTAGTAGTAGTGGAAGTAGTAGTAGTAGTGGTGGTAGTAGTAAGGAGAAGGAAGAGGAGAAGAACGAGAAGACGAATGAGAAGAAGATGGAGGAGCAGAAGGAGGAGAAGAAGAAGAAGAAGAAGAAGAAGAAGAAGAAGAAGGAGAAGATAAAGAAGAAGAATGAGAAGAAGAAGATGGAGGAGGAGGAGAAGAAGGACAAGAAGGAGAAGAGGAAGAAGACAAAGAAGGAGGAGAAGATGAACGAGGAGAAGGAGAAGATAAAGAAGAAGATGGAAGAGGAGAAGAAGAAGAAGAAGAAGAAAAACTTCTTCTTGTGTAAAAAAAAATGATAAATTCGAAGAGACACTTTGACTGATGTTAGATATTTATCAGCAATTAAGAGCCTCTATACATCTATCACACAATTTTGACATACCTCCAATACTGTTTCCCCAGGCTAGGACCGTAAGACCAAGGATCGCATCATTGATGGAGAACTCCACACCAAACATCTATTATGTAAGATAGAAACACATTAGTTACACGTCATTTAAACCATAATGATTTCTTTTATGTAGTGGCAAGCAATCTTCTATTCATAGTTGACAATTACTTTACGAAAATAAGACCTTTAACCCTAATAAGGCCGGGGGGGGCCATTATGGCCCCCCCCCTCCACAATTTTTCCGATTGCTCGGGAACGTATATGGATGGCGCCCCGCCGCTCGCTGACTTTTTTCTTTCGAGTCTTGCGCAACTTTTAAAATAATTTTTTTGAAAATCGGACCTACGGTTACAAGGTCACGTGACCTTTTGTCTTCGCATGTCAGCCTGAAAATCGCTCATTTTCGTGATTTGTGTACAAAACGTATGGTAAAGTCATTTTTCCTAAAAAACAGATCAAACATGGGTTATTGGGTCTTGTTTAAAGTTTAGGTGGTTGTTTTGGGAGTCAAAATAGTTGAATTGTAGTAAAAGATGAAATAAAACAACAAAAACAATGAAATACATAAGTTAAAAAAACAATGAAATACATAAGAAATTATCAAAACAAGGGATAACATAAGAAATAAGCTGGATCTTCCAATTTTTTTTTCGTATTATTATTCAGAATGGTCTAATGAATATATCTAGTGAAAAAGAATGCTTAAATATGAATAATATATGATTTATTGGTAAAAATGTGATTTTTATGACTTTATTTGCATAAATTACCATAAATATGCAAATGAGTGAATTTAAAAAAAATTTGAAATTATCATATTATTCTTTACACTTCACTTGACATGCGTGCAAATTTTCGCGGCAAACGGCCGCTTCGCGGCCGAGATCTTGAGGGGGGGGGGGCCATAATGGCCCCCCCGGCCCTACTAAGACTTCAAATAGCCCGGCCTTATTAGGGTTAAAACTATACATTTTAAGTAAATCAAAGCAGCATTTTTTTTAAGTAGGTGATGAAATGATGTTTTGTGTCCTTTGGCATATCTAAAGACTGACTAAGCTTAGTTTTCTACAGAATTTAATAACTTTTGATCAAAGAGCGTTTTGAGCGCTTTTGTTTTAGTACCAAATTTGAGCGTAGTCATGAAAGCTCAAATACATTTGGAATCATTGCAAATATTTTTATTTTGGGCACGTGAACATTTTCCTTGGCATTGCCCTACTGTAAAACATTAAATTATCTAACATGAGACTACCATGATATGGAATAGAGCAGCAAGGAGCTTTGTCAAATGGCAAAACTTGCATGCTGGTCATGCCATTAGCCAATTATTCCATAGCATAAAACTTTTATGAAAATATGATGAATGTGAAAGTTTCAGGTTTTGCAAGACACTGAAATGCCCTCTGTCGGCGATTAAAGGCAAGGCCATATCATTAATACCAATGCATTAAACTTGTTTCTATTTTATCAAAGAAAACATTACCAACCTGTAAAATGTTGACAATTTCATTTACCGTAGAATAAATCCATAACACAGCTACAACGAAACCTACATATGAAAATAACTGAGGAGTAAAATAAGATTAAAATATATATACTGTTGGTCATAATGGTGGAATATTTATTTTTACCCCAGTTTAGGGAAGGATTTTTAAAAATTATTTATTTCTAATAGATCTAGATAATGGCATACATTCTCACATTTTATTGAATATTAATTTGCGAGTGTTTGTTTTGCGTGACTGCTTAATCATATGTGTGCTACTATGCTAATCAGCTGGGACCTACGTCCTTAAGTCATAATTGACAGTAATAAGGATTAATGCCTCACAAAAGAGCACTAATATATAGCTGATTGACACGATTTTTATCCTGGGGCCTCACAGTAACAAGGCCATTGCTTAGCCCCTGAATCATGACTGTACGCAGTGTTTGCCAGGGTACGCGGCCCCTTCCACAAATCCCCCAAAACGAAGAAAATGCAATAAATTATCAATAATTCATTGCATTTCCCCCCGGCCCCCAACAGGAAAAATTCCTCTGTAGGGCCATGCATTATGGTTCAAGGCATGGCCACAAAGAGGAATTTTTTCTGTTGGGGGCCGGGGGGGAAATGCAATGTATTATTGATAATTTATTGCATTTTCTTCGTTTTGGGGGATTTGTGGAAGGGGCCGCGTACCCTAGCAAACACTGCGTACAGTCATGATTCAGGGGCTAAGCAATGGCCTCATTACTGTGAGGCCCCAGGATAAAAATCGTGTCGATCAGCTATATTAGTGCCCCTTTTTGAGGCATTAATCCTCATTATGTCAATTATGATTTAAGGACGTAGGTTCCCTAGCTGATTAGCATAGGAGCACACATATGATTTAGGAGTCACGCAGAACAAACACTCGCAAATTAATATTCAATAAAATCTGAGAATGTATGCCATTATCTAGATCTATTAGAAATAAATAATTTTTTTAAATCCTTCCCTTAACTGGGGTAAAAATAATTATTCCACCATTATGACCAACAGTGTATATATGTGTTACATAGACAATATACACCCACAAGAAAAATGGTACATAACCCAAACACAAATAAAATGAATGCGACTGCGTCTCCAATATGCAATCGCCTTGTAGTCTGTTAATTGATCGACAACTCTTTAACATCTACCAGTAAGTCATCTGATCTCATGGGACCCAAAGTCATTTTTACTTAATCTTTTAGTACTCAAACAAACTTAAGCCCAGTTTGGTATAAAATGGTTCAATTTTTGTTGAGTTATCACAGTATTACAATATTTTCTAGGATTTATAATCCTTTGATCTTTTACACCTTCATGTAATTTATTTGAATGTAATTGTAATTAAGGAACCTTTACATAACTATCTTGATCTAAGGAGACACGAACGAACGAACCTTCATGTATCAATTCAATCTCAATAGCTCTTTTCTACAATGTTCATGCTCATACACACAATAATCAGGTTTAATTGAAGGGGTTCGTTGTAAGTTATTGTGGTAACCAGATTTTTTTTCTGGTATTTTTAAAAATTTTCATGACCCTGCAACCTTTGACCAGTGACCTCTCCCACCTAAAATCGTATCAATTTATCCTTGCATACACATACATACTTCACCTAAATCTGGTTAAAATTTGTTGGTCCTCAAGCTATCCTGGTAAAGAAAAGTGAGACAGACGGACGGACAACCCCAAAACATAACGCCTCCGCCACCAATGGCAAGTAATTCATAATTTCTAACAAGTTACATCTGTATTCAAACATTTTTCTTCCACTCGAGAAGCTTGTCAATCTATACAATGGTATACCGGTAGTAGAATACCCAAAATAATTTTTATGTGAAAATTATTACATATTAGGAAGCCTTGCACAATGTTGTGTACTGTGAATTTGTGCCTCTGGTTAGAGGTGTGGGTATAAAAACATGGCTTCCCTTAAAGGTAATACAAAGTTTTGGTATGGAGTCATGAATTTCGTTTAAATGAACATATTGGAAGAATATGCGACCCTACAATATTCAGTGATCGTTGTCAAAATTGTCAAAATTGTTTAGAATCACTATCCACCAAATTGTCAAAATTTCCCAAAACTTTGTATTACCTTTAAGTTGAAGTTGTTTTTTTCAAATAGGAAATCTTTCTTATTTTGAATTGCTTGATAGTTTCAAAGAGAAGAGAATCTTTGTGTAACTTACTGCGTGATAGACCGGCTGTTCCTTTGGTTTAGATGTCAAGAAGACTGAAGCTGCGAACAAGAATGATATAGGCAGAACAAGGTACCATACCACAAAACCATCCGTTATAGTTTGGGTTAAACCTGGAGTATACGGAAGAGAGAGAGGGGAGAGAGAGAGAGGAGAGAGGGAGAGAGAGAGAGAGAGGGGAGAGAGAAGGAGAGAGAGAGAGAGAGAGACAGAGACAGAGGGAGAAAGAGAAAGTAAAAAGGTATTGTCATAATCAACAATATATTTATACTCTCATTGTCTATACATTGTACATATTCCCTATTTCAATTTGCAGTCTATCTGCTCTAAAAAGAAAGTCCATCCGTAAAATAAGTTGGTTTTATGTATAAGGCCCCAAAATAAGAGAAACAGATCAATGGAAGTTTGGGGAAAATTTGGAGAAGGATAGAAAAAATTAGTAATTTCTTATCGATCAAATACAGTCACGTTTGCAACTTATTGACATACATGTACATGTACCTGTTAAGCATTTCTTTCATTTGTTCTCAACTAAAGATTTCATAAATTTCTTCTTTTTTTTTTGCTGTAAGAAAACTGTCCCCATGATACATGTAATATTATGATATGACATAGGACACACGTTCTTACGCATCCTTTCCATGAGAAATATCATTTTCTTCACCCAAAAACATGAAATTTGAAATTAATGGAATGTTCAATGGCACTAAAATGAAAGTGGTAACCACAAGCTACATTACAAATAGCAACTTTAGAAATGAATAACATCCTTATCCTGTTTCTTTTTTTTTCTTTTCAGTAATCTAACTTTCCTGTTTTCACGCTTTTCCTGTCTTCATTAAAATCAATGTACCGGGTATTTCCACAATGAATATCCCCATCAAAAAGACTTTCACATCTTTAATTGTGAAAAAATGGTTACAATAATTACAGCAGAATTGATCAATACAAAATATGAACAAATTATTTACAAAAATAAGTGTTCATTACCTGCAGAAAAAGAAATTTTTATTATAAATATCCTTTTTAAAGTCATAAATATTCTTTGGGCTTGGTTCTCCAACATGTGAACAGTAGCATAAATAAATGACAGACAGGCAATGGTACAGTAAAGGTTAAAGCAGTTACTGTCTCATACACCCACAAACAATCTACCTATAATACAGAAATGACGCTACATTATGTTACATATCATATCCGGGCACCTACCCCCCCCCTAGGATAGTTGTCCGGGGGGTTGTTGTCCTAGAGGATGGTTGTCGTAGGGAGTAGTTGTCTGGGGGTAGTTGTCCTAGAGGTTAGTTGTCCTAGAGGGTAGTTGTCCGGGGGTAGTTGTCCTAGAGGTTAGTTGTCCTAGAGGGTAGTTGTCCGGGGGTAGTTGTCAGGGGGTAAGTATTCCTGGGGAGGGTAGTCGTCCTAGAGGGTGGTTGCCCTTGGGGGTAGTGGTCCTAGGGGTTGGTTATCCTAGGGGTGGTTATGGGGGTGGTTATTCAGGGGGTAGATGTCCTAGAACCGTTACATATATATGTATTTTAAAATACAGGTCAAAAGCCAAGTTATGTTCCTACAGAAAACTTTCGCACAGATACACGTAGCTTAATGGTTGTAATATTTGATTGTAAAATAAAATTTGGGGCAAGCACACGTTCTTGTTTCCAGCAACTTTGGCAATTTGTCATTACGATGTGAATTTCATCATTGCCATTCATAGAAATGTATGGGGAGAGGGTTTGGAGACATTAAATTCCCTTTTTAAAGGTATCAACCAGTTTTGGAAATGCCTCCCTCTCAAAAAATGATATGGAAGCTCTTATTACCAATCATGTGAAAAAATATGTTTTGCCTACTAATTGATATATTTGGTAAATTATCATATCGATCCGGCCTGAATAGATATCGCGTAGTCCCATATACATCTTTCTGTGTACAGTGCTTGTAACTTTACCAAGACTGGGCCAAATTTCTTATAATTTTGATGATTCCAGAACCTTGCAGTACACACCAATGCTTATATGCTAGATGATCAACCTTTCCTGATCGATTCCACAACGTTTCTTCCACAATGCAGTCGCATGACCAGAACTGGTCTATACCTTCAATGTAATATGAGAACGGGGAAAAATATGCACCTACCTTTGGTAACAAACGCACAGAATACTGGTGCTAAGAAAAGATTAAGAGTGTTTAATAATCTATTCCAGTTATGCTTTGGTTCGTTGTAGTCCACCACTGGAACCGTCGCTTTTAAACATAATAGCATGGGGCACTGAAAAGATGGAAAACAAAATGCTTCATACTACTTATAAGTATCGGCTTGCATGGTGATGTAGCTAAACAGTAGGCTTACGGTTTCACAGACTCTCCAAGAAAGAAAGATTACTGACAGTTCTTTTCAGGACTCCCCAATCCTCCCCCCCCCCCTCCCTCTTTCACATGGTGCAACAGTACATCAAAATGCGAAACTAAATGCATGGAAATGGAAAGTAAAATTGCTGTAACAAAATACTGATTTGAAATTACAAATCGTTCATGAAAGCTATATTGCAATAAATATTTGCTGTTGAAACCTATCTTCTAACAAGGCTATTTATATATATTAAAAGCCCCAGCTAAAAGCTGACACATATTGAATCAGCAAATAAAACTGCAACATTTAAAATACATGCAGAATACAAGGAAACTATCACTGAATGTTCAAAGTTACAAATAAATAAATAAATGACATGTGCCAAACAATTTTTGAAGAAAATGTATAGTGGCTGAGTAATGAGCAGAGAAGGATAAGGAAATCTGGTTAAGTACGCCAGACATGTACCATGTATATATTTATGTGCAATAACAAATTTAGCTATTATTATCATTACTATAACCTAAATATAAACATCATTTAAAACTACTATTCCAAATGAAGAATATCCATCATTAAACAATGTTTACCATACCTTTATTAGCTGCCATATCTTTAAATAGCAGGCAAGCTCCGCCCATTCCTTCAGATCTACAGGACAAAGACCAAGAAAGAATTCCTTCAATTGACCAGGGGGAGGGGTTTCACCTCTCAGAAGGGGTTGAGACTCTGCAACAGTGAACAAATTAGAAGATAGGTTTCAATAACAAACAAATATATATAGATATATCAATTATTTTTGATATTTTGTTCACAATAATGAGAAAAAGCACTGGTCCAATATTAAACACAATGCAATAGTAGTTCTACTTGTGTTATCGCTTGAATTTTTTCATACGAAATAAGTGGGGTCTTAGTTTAAAAGTTTTTTTTTTTTTTTTTTTTTTACTTTTGAATAACCGTGTCTGGAGGAAAGACTACGCTCGATTCTCATGTTATTCCACAGGAAAAGGATTATGGGGTCTTAGATTTGATGATTTTATTTTTTTTTTAAATAACCGGGTCTGGAGTAAACACTGCGCGCTATACCCATGCTTTATTACAGGGTTTTAGTTTTGAACAAATTCGACAAAATATCACTTCAAATTTATTACATTTGTGGGTAAAGTCATTATTACATTTGTGGGTGATTCGAAATTATTACATTTGTGGGTAAAGTGGTTATTACATTTGTGGGTGAAATTATTACATTTGTGGGTAAAGTGTTATTACATTTGTTGGTGTTTTTACATTTGTGGGTAAAGTGTTATTACATTTGTGGGCGTTATTACATTTGTGGGCGTTATTACATTTGTGGGTGTAACATCCCCATTTGTGGTTGATTAAAAATTATTACATTTGTGGGTAAAGTGGTTATTACATCTGTGGGTGAAATTATTACATTTGTCGGTAAAGTGTTATTACATTTGTGGGTGTTATTACATTTGTGGGTAAAGTGTTATTACATTTGTGGGTAAAGTGGTTATTACATTTGTGGGTGAAATTATTACATTTGTGGGTAAAGTGTTATTACATTTGTTGGTGTTTTTACATTTGTGGGTAAAGTGTTATTACATTTGTGGGCGTTATTACATTTGTGGGTGTAACATCCCCATTTGTGGTTGATTAAAAATTATTACATTTGTGGGTAAAGTGGTTATTACATCTGTGGGTGAAATTATTACATTTGTCGGTAAAGTGTTATTACATTTGTGGGCGTTATTCCATTTGTGGGTGTAACAGACCCACAGAGACAGCCTAGATGCACCTACCATTATCATTACTATCATGGTCACTGGTATGATGAGGTAGAGGCGTGATGCTACGAACAACCTCTTCATCTACTCCTAGTATACTGGCCACAGCTAACCTCTCTGTGGCAGAAAGCTCGCCTGCCATGAATGAGAGGAAGACATTTGAGGAATTCACTGATAATTAGAATTACAATGGCACTATCAACTGAATCAAATCATGCACAGATCTACAATAAACTGCAACAAAAAGTTTCAATTAAAAAAAAAATCACCCCATGTTGAATTCAAACAGAAATTTGCCTCCTTAGTATTGTTTGTGTTCTTTTTTCCTTTTTCATTCTTTTTCATTTCATTTAGCCTACCGGTATATGCAATTAGTAGAAAATGTCAAATTACTTACAAGCATCATATTTTGGAGAAGTCTGGAGCTAGTGTTAATTTTGTATTGGTTATCTTGATTGCCCAAACAATTCAGATGCGTATTTTTTTCACATTCCCCAAAATGCGGAATCGAAACTTTAACATTTCCTAAAAAGTTTTGAAATAACCGGGTCTGGAAGAAAAACTACGCTCTAACCCCATGCTTTATTACCGGGTCTTAGTTTGGAAGATGGTGGGGTCTTAGTTTAAAAGTTTTTTTTTTTTTTTTTTTCTTTTACTTTTGAATAACCGTGTCTGGAGGAAAGACTACGCTCGATTCTCATGTTATTCCGCAGGAAAAGGATTATGGGGTCTTAGATTTGAAGATTTTAATTTTTTTTTAAATAACCGGTTTTGGAGTAAACACTGCGCGCTATACCCATGCTTTATTACAGGGTTTTAGTTTTGAACAAATTCGACAAAATATCACCTCAAATTTATTACATTTGTGGGTAAAGTCATTATTACATTTGTGGGTGATTCGAAATTATTACATTTGTGGGTAAAGTGTTATTACATTTGTGGGCGTTATTACATTTGTGGGCGTTATTACATTTGTGGGTGTAACACCCCCATTTGTGGTTGATTCAAAATTATTACATTTGTGGGTAAAGTGGTAATTACATCTGTGGGTGAAATTATTACATTTGTCGGTAAAGTGTTATTACATTTGTGGGTGTTATTACATTTGTGGGTAAAGTATTATTACATTTGTGGGCGTTATTCCATTTGTGGGTGTAACAGACCCACAGAGACAGCCTAGATGCACCTACCATTATCAATACTATCATGGTCACTGGTATGATGAGGTAGAGGCGTGATGCTACGAACAACCTCTTCATCTACTCCTAGTATACTGGCCACAGCTAACCTCTCTGTGGCAGAAAGCTCGCCTGCCATGAATGAGAGGAAGACATTTGAGGAATTCACTGATAATTAGAATTACAATGGCACTATCAACTGAATCAAATCATGCCCAGATCTACAATAAACTGCAACAAAAAGTTTCAATTAAAAAAAATCACCCCCTGTTGAATTCAAACAGAAGTTTGCCTCCTTAGTATTGTTTGTGTTCTTTTTTTTCTTATTCATTCTTTTTCATTTCATTTAGCCTTCCGGTATATGCAATTAGTAGAAAATGTCAAATTACTTACAAGCATCATATTTTGGAAAAGTCTGGAGCTAGTGTTAATTTTGTATTGGTTATCTTGATTTCCCAAACAATTCGGATGTGTATTTTTTTTCACATTCCCCAAAATGCGGATTCGAAACTTTAACATTTCCTAAAGCATATCAAGACTACAGTACAGCAGCGGCAAATATATGGTTAAAATTATGCAAAAACATGTTCATGCTGCTTCATCACTGCTTTGCCTGATTCTAGTTTTTCTGTGTGTTTAGTAACTCTAAATGGGCATGGAATTTGGTACTCTGCTCCTTATGAAACTTTGGGAGAATGTAGCTGTAAGCTGTATCATGTAGTATAAATGTTCAATGGGATTTTTTACAACACTTTGGATTATTTACATGATGTAACAAATGAAACAAGGAAATCTCAGTTATGAGGAGGAAACAAAGAACATAATAGACGTCTACATACATTTATCTCAATACAGTCAATGGATCTGGTATGGTCAATATAATATTGCTGGGTGTGCCAATCAATGAAAGAAATCAAATGAATACCAGGATCTATACATGCTTTAAAAATATTATCAAAACTAGAGCCATCAAATAACACATTCAAACAATTAAACTACTTACATGATAGTATGAGTTAATATGTAAATAGTCAACAAAATAAGGCACAAAATATAGAATTCTATATAGATTGGGTTGAGGCTGTAATCAATGCAAGCTTCATATGTTAACGTTTTTTGCTTTGTTTCCAAGTATATTCTTTGTATCCTCTATGTTTCTCCTGAAAAGACGCTTTATAAATGAAACGTTCTTATTACAACATCAAAGACATTGATATTTACTATTTAACTACATCGTCGAGGTGACTGTTAATACTAGGTACATGTGTGGAATTTATGCTTGTACCGAGACTAGGGAAGTGAAGTGAAGCATTGATGCTGGGATGAAGAGCGGTGGTGGGAGCTACAAGAAGGTGTGAAAACAACACTAACAGAGTGAGGGGATATACAAACGAAAATGAAAACAAAACAGGTGGGTGTTTCACAAAGGTCCTAAGTTGAACTTATCTCTAAGTTGGACTTAACAATTATGGAAAGCCATTAGCATTCTTGAAAATACTTTGTACATGTTATTTTAAAAGGCATAAAATGTTGATTCAAATCATTCATATTTTCTATTATCATGGCAGATTTCAAGTTCTTGATGTGGAATTTATGAAAAGTCTAAAATACTTGAATGTAATTCATTATAAGGCTACAATATATAATATAATATTCAAGTCCAACTTAGAGTTAAGTTCAACTTAGGATCTTTGTGAAACACCCCCCCCCCCCCCCAGAACTATACCGTGGCTTAGTGACTGAATCATTAAACAACCCTTTTGGATTACGAGGGTAATAGAAATCTAGAAAGTGATCCTAACATCAGCTTTTATCTACGACAGTGAGTGGATATAAACGAAAATGAAAACAAAACAGAACTGATTCCTTGGCTTGGTGACTGAATCATTAAACAACCCTTTTGGATTACGAGGGTAATAGAAATCTAGAAAGTGATCCTAACATCAGCTTTTATCAACAACAATGAGTGGATATAAACGAAAATGAAAACAAAACAGAACTGATTCCTTGGCTTAGTGACTGAATCATTATAACGACCAATATTTTGGATCACGAGGATAAAAGAGGCCTAAAAAATGATCCAAACATCAGCTTTTATAAATAACAGTGAGTGGATATAAACGAAAATGAAAATGAAACAGAACCGATTCCTTGGCTTGGTGACTGAATCATAAAAACAACCCTTTTGGATCACGAGGATAATAGAGGCCTAAAAAATGATCCTAACATCAGCTTTTATAAATAACAGTGAGTGGATATAAACGAAAATGAAAACAAAACAGAACCGATTCCTTGGCTTAGTGACTGAATCATGGTGACTGAAACATAATTACGAGGGTATAGAAACCTAGAAAGCGATCCTAACATCAACTCTTTTTGTGATGCTGATCATTTGAATTGTTGCTTGAAGTTTCGCATTGTTTGGAGAGCAACTTGAGATGCCATCTTCCTGTAATTATTTTGTCAGATACTGGTAAAATTAACTCAATAGCAAGTAAATGAACAAGTCAAGTATCCATGAAAGAATTTATTTCAATGGCTGCCATATTTGTTACAGTTTTGATTAACTGCAGTAACAGAAAGACTTCTTAATGTCATTTTGTAAGTACAGATCATAATGGGTTTAAGTGTGGAGACTATATCAAGATTGAATCTTTCAATAACACTAGGTGAGCTAATGGATATTTACTGCAAAACAAAACACACTTTGGTTTAATAGTAATGATAACATTCCGAGAAGCAAATTAAAATGGTTATATGGAGAAATTTGTCATTTTGTGCTGTAAAATTTCCCATTTCTCCTCCCTATTCAATAGACAGGTTTACTAACATATTCAAATTGTATGCTCACTTTTTGAAATGAGGTTGTTCTTGACAGCCCAAAAGCATTAGCGACAGGTAATAGTATGCACACCGGTACGGGATATGGAATATTGTAGTTCATTCATTAATAACAGGTTAAATAAAGGAATAACTTGTCACTAGGTCCCCAGGGGAGAAACATCCATACATTTGAATATATTTTATTAAACCTATCTATTAGTAAAGTATACACATTTGAATGTGAACTTATCTATTGCTCAGCAAGAATACAATTCTAAATGGATCACTTTGATCAAGAGAAAAAACAAGTATGTACTAAAAACAAGAAATAGTGAAAGGCTGCTGAGGGGGTGAAAAGGAGCAAGGTCCGACAAGCAGAGTATTACAACTGGGGCTATTTTCAAACACATTTAAACACACAGGAAATAAGATTACTAATTCATGAATTACAAAATCACAAATATGATACAGTCCATACATGTATGCAAACAAGAGGAAGAATTTAAGGAAAGGAGGAAAACAGAGAACCGGGCATGGTGGCTCAGTCGTTTGAGCGCCCGCCTCATGAACGGGAGGTCGTGGGTTCGAACCCCGGCCGAGTCATACCAAAGACTTATAACAATGGGACCTTCTGCCTTCTAGCTAGGCGCTCAGCATATTAGATTGGAGAAGGGTAGTAATAACATATTATGTTATGCAGGGCCCGCTGGAAGAACAGTTTCATAACTGAAGTGGCTACCCTGGGTAAATAAAAGTTATTATTAGGTGATACGTACGTAGACGTATCACCTTTTGATTTCGTCAAGATTTTCTTTATTATTTTTATTATTCTGCCATGAATTTGTTCGCAGAATATCTCAAGAATGAAAAAAGCCATAATCATGAATCTTTCAATGATGATAGATCTTAGTCTAACTTAGAACTGCGTGACTTTTCAAAGACTCAAAGTCATCGTGACGTCATCCAGGCGCCATTTTGTGAAAATCAACTCATGATCATATCTTCATAACAGAAAGCCATTTCTCATTCATATTTATCACGATCAAGGTCAATATCTGTCCCGTCAATTTCAGGTCAATAAATGCGTTAAAAAATGCGCGTACGCGTACGTGCGCGCGTTAATGCGCGCGTAAAATTTTATATTGCTCAAAATCGTCCTAATTTTTTTTTGCATACGTTTCAGGCCATTATAAGCATTCATAAAAAATCGCGCAAAACACGCATTTTTGCGCGTTTTCGTTCGTCACGGCCGAACGAAAAATAATTCCTCCGCAAAAACTTTTGACAGGATATTCCTCATAATTTTCCGAACAATTTGATACCAAGTTTATCTCTTTATCACTATTAATAACGGAATGAGCGTCCGTTCAAGATAACCGTCCGCACGCGCGATTTTTGTAATACATAGCATATACGGGCAAAAACATGCCTATAAAAAGTCCATTGGGATGAATAAGGATTGCCAATTTTTTTTCATATTTAGATAGAGTATGAGTCGAAGGTATGATTTCATATCTCATTTGGCCATCAAGTACATCTTGACGTCATCATAATGGCCTTGGAAGTCAAAAATACAAAAATGCATATTATGACGTCATTATGTTTATGGAAAATTTAGTGTATTTCTCTTAATATTCATCGATTCTCTTCTAGATTTTAATATGTTGTAGTCGAGGCAATCGTCTTTGAGATCAGTCTACACCAATTTTCATTTAAATGATGTCATCATAGCACAAAATTCAATTAAAGGCCACATGTCAGAATTTTCGTCATTTGCGTGTTATGTCTATGGAAGGTAAATTTTGTTCACAATTTGAATCTTCATGACATTGATCTTTGAGCACTATCTAGCTTACGAGTACTCTATGTTCTCCCAAATTTTGATACGGTGTAGCTTATAAATTATCTTCAATATTGACGTACATCATTTATCATTTTGATGACATCATCTTAGTGAAAATTTCAATTAAAGGCGACATGTCAGAATTTTCTTAGTTAGCGTGTTAGGCGACTTTTTCTGAAATCCTGATTCTACAAATCTCTATCGAATACCTGAAGTGGGCGCTATACCACTCTTAATCATGGTCTTTATCGTATTTATGATCATTATCATTAGATCATCATCGGCACAATTTCATGATAACAAAATAGCACGTATCACCTAATTCGTCAAAGTGACGAATTAAAGTCTAGTTATTATTATTATTATTATTATATCCTCTAATACTTCAAAATATCTTGAAACTTTGTGATCTTCATCTCCTTCTCTCATTATCTTCCCCTCCCCCCCCCTCTCCTCCGTTTGTTTATGTCTTTGTACACAGGGGGGGGGGGGGGCAGAAGGATCATACAACCTCTATTCCATGAAAATATTTCAAATATTTGTGATCTTCATCTCCTTCTCTCTCCCTCCCTCCCTCCCTCCCTCTCTCTCTCTCTCTTCTCTTCTCTTCCCTTTTCTCATCCCATCTCCTCTCCTGTTTGTATATATCTCTGTACAAAGGAGGAAAACCATCTTGAATCTGTGTGATCTTTGTGATCTTCTTCTTGATCTCTTTCCCCTCCCTCCCTCCCTCCCTCCCTCCCTACTTCCCTCTCCTCTCCTCTGTTTGTATATATCTCTGTACAAAGGAGGGAAACCATCTTGAATCTATGTGATCTTTGTGATCTTCTTCTTGATCTCTTTTCCCTTCCTTCCTTCCTTCCTTCCTTCCTTCCTTCCTTCCCTCCCTCCCTCCCTCCTTCCCTCTCCTCTCCTCTGTTTGTATATATCTCTGTACAAAGGAGGGAAACCATCTTGAATCTGTGTGATCTTTGTGATCTTCTTCTTGATCTCTTTCCCCTTCCTTCCTTCCCTCCCTCCTTCCCTTCCTCTCCTCTCCTCTGTTTGCCTATGACAATGTCTCTGTACACTCTTTCTAAATCTCTTTTCATTCTTTGTGATACTATACCTCCTGGTGCTTGTTCCTGAGTTTCAGGAGTGTATGTTTCTACAGCTTGTTCCTGCTCCTGTCTCCTCCGTTTCTGATGTTGGTATATTTTGCGTCCCACGATCACCACGCTCACATACAAGAGATACAGCAATATGTAACCTGTGGAAAAAAGCAATTCAACAAATTTACTATTAAACAACAACTACCTTTCAAAGATTTTCATCTTGTTCACTCCCTCTCTCTCTTTCCTCTTCCTCCCTCGATCTCTACCTTAAACATGATACCTACAAAAGGTAACCTCAAAGTCAAGAAAAACAATGGTATGTACCCTACATTGTCATGATTGTAATCAATATTTGGATAAAGTACATCCTTTCATAGTTTGTTTATAAATTTGGATAAAGTACATAATTTCGTAAATTGTTTATGAATTTGGATGAAGTGAGCACATGTAGTGAGCACATTTTTTTTTTTTTTTGGCCCTCAAAAATTTGAAAAATCAGTTTGGAATTGGAGTTGAGTCGGTGTGGCAGTGTGATTGAGGTGTTAGACTGTGCAGGGCTACAGAGTGACAGGACTCACCTATGGCTTCCAGGAATACAATGCTGCCTTTGTAGAGGATATAGAAGGTCCAGAAGGCTGCTACCAGGTAGAAGATAGCATCCCTTAAGAAAGGACGCTCAACCATCTTAAATGGTCTAGATATGGCGATGGATCCAGCCACCACCGTTGTCACAAATATACCGGCTCCTGATGTATAGAAAAAACATTAACAATGACTTTTTTTTTTAATAAACCAAAGGGAATTACAATAGTCCTCTGAATCACTTTGAGACATTGACAATTAACTACATGTATTGAGTAATCTGGCCATCATTCACAGAATTGCCCTTGATTTGACATCTTGAAAGTCATTGTGACCATATTATAGAGATATAGCGACTGCTTTGAGAGGCCTGGCTGTTTTATATGCTCAAGGGAACACGCACAGATCCTGCCATTACCCTGAGGCGCGCCGAGGCCGAGGGGTCATGGCAGGATGTGCTAGTTCCTGAGAGCATATTAAGCAGCCAGACCTTGAATATTAAAGCAGTCGATATGTCTTTTATATGTCGAATTGAAACAAAAATCTACCAAGAATTCTTACCCTATCTTTTTATTGAGTAAATATTGGTTAAAACATCACAAAAAATCTGAGACACTGTCTGTGAAAAACTGAAAGTTTCAATCATTTTGGAATCGCAGACAAAAAGAACTGTATGGTGTCCGCGCTCGCACAAAGACAATTTTAACACGTGAACCAATGGATATCGCAGCAAATTTTACTATTTTCATGTTAACCAGAATTTTGAGGGATCTCACTCTTGGACTATATTTACCGTTATTGGCATTTTACGTTTCTTTACGGGAATGGCTAAAATCACGACTCCAATTACGACCAATCAGATGGCTGGATTTCTAAAGTGAGGTATATAATAAGAGATACTGACTAGAATGAAACTATGTAATAGGGCATGGTCAGCTATGAAAGCAGGAATGGAGAAAGATTAGACTTCTTGTGACAAGTAAGAAATCATTCCTACAGGACTGGAGAACTGGAAATGCTGCATATTACGTGTACAATTCATTTGATTAACAACACAGGTTTAAGATTCATTCCAAGGAAGAACCCATTTCATTCATTTTCACATCCGTATCTATGAAATGCATTAAACAAGTCACAGGACATTAAGAGAAATATGGGGTGATAATACTACATGACACCCACGCATACATGTTCACTGATTAATTGTTTATAACATGTTTTAAATTTGAAACTCCCAGGCACAAACTATGTTTCCTTCCTTAAAGGCTAAGTCCGCGCTAAGTCCACTCCAAAATTAATTTGCTTTTAATAAATGCAGAAAAACAAGAGAAACAGAGCAAACGAAATTTGAATAAAATTGGATAACTAATAAGGAAGTTATGAATTTTTTAAATAGTATGAAAAACTATGGAACTTATAAATAACTACAATTGCCAATTTGGTTATCGGTTTGTGATGTCATTGCCGCACTATTTATCATTTTTTTTTATCCCATTAATTTCCCTTTTTTTGTGTGCATTACATTTCACAAAATCTTTTATGAACCTTGAAGAATTGATACTGCTTTCTGCATATTGTATATTCATAATCATTGATTTATATATAAATAGTTTATCAAAAATCACATTTTTCATGATTTTACTAAAAAATATTACTCTATATTAATTAGTGCATCCACATGAAAACAAATTACTATAAATATATCTTGGATGCTGGTGTGAGGAAATAAGATTTTTACGGGGAAAATTGAAAATTTATATTACCAATATAAAGAAAACAATAAGTGAATAGTGAGGCAATGACGTCACAGTCTTATGAGTGAGTTGCCAATTTGTCTTGTGATTTTCAAAGTTTTTCATGTCATTAAAAATTCATCACTTTCTTATTAAATATGCGATTTTGCTCAAACTTTTTTTTTATTGGTTTTTCTGCACCAGTTTACGGTTGTGTGCGCCATTTTAAACAAAGCCAATGACCTAGAGGTCATGTATTTATGCGTAAATTAAGATTGCGCCCATGCAAATTATGATGATATCACTGCCTACGCGCTGCATTGTGCGCGCACATCATCATTTGCATGGGCGCAATCTTAATTTACGCATAAATACCAATGACCCGAGGTCAACTGTTTGCGCATGCGAACTGATACAACCGTAAACTGGTGTATTGAAAGTAAGTTATTTTTGGAGTGGACTGCCCTTTAAAATACTTTGCCAATGTATGGAACACCAACCAAGATGCATGTCATACATTACTGAAGAGTAAAAAACTTACCAAATAAAGCTCCAATTGCCAGCCCTGCTTCTCCATTTTTTGATTTTGTGATTGCTGCTATGACACTAAAGATATCTGGTGCTCCATTGCCAAATGCTAACAGTGTCACTCCGTATCAATAATAGGGAGTTAAGGATTCTTAAGGGGGTATTTCAAGAGGATTTTAACATTGAAATTTAGGCATTGATTAATTTCACACTAAAACAACTTACTTGGAAAAATTAACATATCCACCAAGTTAAATCATTATTTTCTACCAAAAAAATGAATTGTATAACAAAACCAGGGGTAATAGTGAGCACTAAAAAAAAAAAGTTGTTTTGTTTTCCCCTCAACCAAGCCCCCCTTGAGTAAAAAAAAAAGAAGAGGATTCGCGGGGAAAAAATGGCATCTAACAACATTCCCCCCTTTCGAGTAAGAAACTGGGAAAATAGGGCAAAACAGGGAAGAATAGAGGAAATAAGGGGGAAAAAAAATTAAAAATCGGGAAACCGATTTAAATCGGGTTTTTATCAGGCCTGCAAAACACTGTTATAAGTAACTTTTATGATCATACAAATGCTGGATCTGCATCTTAAGTACAAACACACCCACACACAAACACAATAAATACATATTATATATATTTATATATATATATATATATATACAAACATATATATTTGTCATATAAAGTGTTTGCCGTCCAATTTTGTATAAGCTTATAATACATACCCTGTTCAGAAGTAGAACAGTTAAACTGTGTTCAGAACACTTTTGTTTATTAATTAAAAATAAAATTGAAAGTGACACATTCAAACCACAATTAAAAGATATTTGTGTTAAAGATAAATCTGAAACATTATTCAATTCCAACATTGTCAAACTGCTTTTAGTTTTATATCCAGATCATATTAAATTTGGTAGAACAGTTTCACATCACTGTAGGAGCAGAAATAGGTATATAATTAAAGGTAATTAAATTAATCACCATGGAATCAATTAACAGTCGTTATAGCCAGCAAATCATAATTAAAACATTTATTTTAACAAGTCAACGCAGAGCGTAGCATCCCCTCGCAGGGTACAAATGGCCTAAATACGTCAGAACAAGTTACCTCCATTGGACTATACTATTATATTACTAGGCAAGGAAGTTAACCACATTTTCACATATATAATTAGGTGTTTTTGCAAATTTAATGAGCTATGACCTTTCACCTTTGACCTACATACTCGGAAATTGAACTTAGGCTGTGTTTTGATACCATGTACCTTCATATCAAATTTCATTAAAATTTATCCAACATTACTCAAGTTATCGAATGGAAACCAGATTCGCATATTTAATGAGCTATGACCTTTGACCTACATACTCCGAAATCGAACTTGGGCTGTGTTTTGATACCATGAACCTTCATATCAAATTTCATTATAATCAATTTAATTATAATTTCATTATAATACTAAGTTATCAATTGAAAACCAGATGTGTATTTTTAAGCATATTTAATGAGCTATGACCTTTGACCTTTGACCTACGTACTCCAAAATCGAACTTAGCCTGTATTTTGATATCATGTACCTTCATATCAAATTTAATTAAAATCCGTCAAACATTACTGAAGTTATCGATCGGAAACCAAATTTGTTACGAACGGACGGACGCACGCACGGCAGCGTTATTATATCCCCTCCGACTTCGTCGGTGAGGGGATAATTAAAGCTTGCTAAATGTTATATTGGGCAGGAGTAATTTTTTAAAAATAGATATTCATATACTTACGGAGGCAACATTTGGTTATCAATTTACAATTAATCATAGTTACAACTATTAATCTAATGGAATGAGCACTTGACTTCAGAGTTTCTTCATCTTTTTATAACATGATTCTTCATACTATTGAAGCAATAATATTATACATTTAATTGAGCTACCTTATACTACAAGTGCTTTTGCATTTACAATTTTTTTTACTCACTATCAAACTATGGTGTAATTTGAATTCCACAAGATAAGATATCTAGTATTTACATTTAGGTTGTGATAAAAGTAATTGGTCTAGGATATTCTCCCCTTTAAAGGTGAAATTCAAAGAAAATCACAAATATGTCAACTAATGTATCACGAGAAACTGGTAAGCTAACAGATGGCCATCGTACAAGTTTTAGGTCAACTACATATCGGGTGATTTATAAAAATACAAATACAACCACCTCCATAGCAGCTGGGATATACGAGAAATTCGCCAGAAAACAAACGATGTTGTAATGACGTCACAATATAGACCAATACTGCCTAAGCAGACGACATCCCATAAAGAATGAACATAATTGCAAAGCTATTATTTGTCAAATTATAATGAGTTTAGTGTATATATACATGTAAATGTAATGGCATGTCAAACCATTCAAAAGGGGATATGACCCGATTCTGATAACTAAAATATTTTGCTTGTAAATAAAAAGGATAGGGGTTAATTAACAATCAAATATACCAGACGTTCAAATCAGGGTTGGCATATTTCCTGCTTCGGAGGCTTATATCCCGGATGCCGGGAAATAAGCAGTATTTACTGCTTTTTACTGGTATCTACCGCTTTTTACCGGGAGATACCGGGAAATATATTTTTCCACTCACTTGTTCATAGGGATTGTCCAATTTTGAAAATAATAACAATGGTGGTGAGTATGGTTACTCTGGTGTGTACTATTTGTGTGTGTGGGTGTGTGTGTGTGCGTGTGTGTTTGTTTGTGTCTGTTATTATGAAATGCTGGATAAAAATACAGGGAAAAGATCCCAAATATACTCCTTATCTAGAAATGATGTTCTTAATTAAGTCAGTTGCTAATTACTATATTCATGAGGAGTGTCGTGGTCGAATGGTTTAAGGCGCTTGACTGGAGATGCGAAGGTCGAGGGTTCGAATCCTGACACGGCACTAATATCCTTTGGCAAGATATTAACCTGCACTTGCTACCATCCATCCAGGTGTTAAATGGGTACCCGGTTGGATGCGACCGTCATTGTTGGTCAAATAGTTTTTGAGCGTCAAGTAACGCCTGGCTGGAATGCTCCCCAAGGAGTGGAGATTGTGCACACAGTGTGTGCGGGCAAGCACAGAATCCAATGACCGGGGTAATAGTATATTTTATTAAGCGCTTAGAGACATTTGTGATAAGCGCTATATAAAACCTAAATATTATTATTATTATTATTAAAAAAACATAATGTGAGCTTGTGTAATTATTTTGGCTATAAAAAGATTTCTTTTTTCTGTAAACATTTATCAAAAGTTCAAAACCAGCAACCACTAGTACACATGTATACAAAATCATTGATACACTATTGTTACAAAAAAAACTTTCATACAGTAGAATATAATTCATATTCTGAGCTTTATTCACAATTGAAAACAAAAATCATATTGTAATGAGATACATGTAATTTTAGTTAGTGTATATTGTGTGTTGCACATGTATGTGTGTTTGGGTGTGTACATGTATGCAGTGTGGATTTTATAAATCTGTTTGTGTGTTTCTACTATGAGTGTTGTGCTGCTAATTATTTCAGAACAATATTTTCAGTTGTTGAGGCTAAAAATAAGTAAAATTATAAAACAAGGGAAACGCTCTCGGCGGTCTCGCCTGCATTACGCAATTCGATATGATGAAAAATTGAGGTTGGAACATTATTTATAGGCAGGGTGGCCCATTAGCAGGCTCCCAAAAATGAAATCCTCTGAATATAATCACATTTTGAAGTGAATATTGACTAAGAATCATCAGAAGAATTATTTACTATTAATTGAACCACGATCGTTAACTTGAATGAAATATGAACAAATTAATAATTTTTTTAAAAATTAATTCTCATATTAAGTTGTGAAAACATAATCCAAGTCTACTGACCTTTGACCTTGTGACCTGGAATTTGTGTCATATGATTTGTGATACTTGATAACCCTTGGGTACAAGTTTTATGGAATTTGAACAAACAATTTTGAAAATATGCTAAAAATTCAAAATCTTGATGTTGATGCCACAACACAGTCTAAGTTTGTTGACCTAAAATGACATTTGACCTTAACTTAGTTACCTGAAATACTACTCACATGATTTGGGATACTTGATAACCCTATAGTCCAAGTTTCATTGACTAAGAACTTATACTTTCAAAATTATATCAAAAATTCAAAAACTTAACCTTAGGTTAAGTTTTCGTTGATGATGCCACAACATAGTCCAAGTCTGTTGACCTGAAATGACCTTTGACCTTGACTTTGTGACCTGACATTCTACTCACATGATTGGGGATAATTGATAACCCTATAGTCCAAGTTTCATTGACTAAGAACTTATACTTTCAAAATTATATCAAAAATTCAAAAACTTAACCTAATTGATGTTGACGCCGTCGCCGTCGCCGTCACCGGAAAAGTGGCGCCTATGTCTTGCTTTTTGCTACGCAGGCGAGACAAAAAAAAAGAATTAAAATCATATTTCCTGTTTTTATGCATATTTACTGAACGCCCATCTTTTTTACTGGATGGTATTTACCGCCGATAATTACCGCCACCGGTATTTACCGCCCAACCCTGGTTCAAATTGAAAAACCCACGGAATGATATTAAGGACGGCACTTGTTCCCTCTTGAAACGCCGAACATACTGCAATGTGTGCAGCTGATATTCAACGGCGTCTTATTTGTTTACAAGCGACAGATACCTTTATTTTCGTATCGCTGCATTTGTCATCAAAATAAAACCATGCGCGGGGTTTAGAGTGAGGCAATAGATTATACATTTAGCCTGATGGTAGTGAAGTAAGAGAAAGAACTCAAGAGAAGATGAAAACACAGGCACTGAAAATGTGTAAAATGTCATGGGACATCGTCTACTTGTGCAAATCATGTCCATACTGTGATCTCACACATCTCAGCAGCGTTCGGAGAGCTCTTCAGGTGCTAAGCCGGGGCTGTATTTAAGCGTTTTGTAATGAATAATAATCATTACGTCGAATGTTTCCTAGCATTGAACTTTGATAACCTTGTTGAATCAAGGTTTCAACTTTGCAATAATGAAAATAAAGTTTTTAAAATCAATGAATATCTACTTTAAAATATCTCAATCTAAGGCTCAATTGTTTTGACTAGCAAACTGTTCAGTAATGTATAACTGTAACATGATTTTATAACATTGCTTCTGAATTTCTTTTATCTTTACTGTTTTTTTAAATGCGTTAAAGCAACTCTTAATAATTTATAGTGTTTTTCCATCCCATGATATGTCTTTCCCTTTTTCCTTCTTTTTGTCAAGCTATTGTATTGTTCATTCAATGCCAATTACTTGCTTAATTTCAAGCATATTTCAAACTTCAGGTGCACTTCGCAGGGTTCTAATATTTTTCAGAATGTAAATATATTATACAAAACTGAATAATATGAGTATATGAGTCTTCTGCCTCCTGCTCTCTCTCTCTCTCTCTCTCTCTCTCTCTTTCTTTCACCCTTACTTTCTTTCTATGGTTATATCTTATTCTTTCTCTTCATTCCTCTCTCCCTTTTCTCCATATCTACATTATGTACATGTACATGCTCCCCTTTTCTTCTTTTTCCTCTTACTTCTGTCTGATGACATCAAATTGAAGGCTTACTTTAAATCATTTGGTCGTTGCGTCTGGTTGGGTAGTCACGGGACCACCCGACCCGACCCGAGCACCTGATGATTCAGGGTGAGCCAAATTCAACGCTTATAATGAAAGTTGTAATATTCAAGGATCTATTCAGCGTAATTGTGTATGATTGATGTACTATAATAGTTTAATTTCTACATAACGATCGATTCTTGGTTCTTTTTGATTTCCATCTTGATTTGTATATATATCAGTGGCGGATCCAGGGGGTGGCCCGGGGGGTCTGCCCCCCCCCCCCCCTTGAGAAAAAAAATCATGTAAAATCACGTGATTTTTACCTTTTTGGGGGTTGGGCCCCCCCCCCCTGGCGCTCAAGGGGGGGGGGGGTGCAAATTGAAAAAAAAATTGAGGACCAAAAAAAAAATGTGCTCACTACTACCCCCCCCCCCCCCCAACCCCCCCTCTGAGCAACTTTTCGGCCGGCGCGATTTTTCAAATTTTCGGGAGCAAAAAAACAAAAAAGTTGGGCCCCCTCCCCTAAGAAATCCTGGATCCGCGCCTGATATATATAATATATATATATATAAATTCTGTATATTTTATTTCATTTTTGAATATTTGCAGCTCTTGGTCTGCATGTCCAATGTTTTTGTATCCTAATAAAGAGTTTAAATCACCTGATTGTATTCTAAAACACATGTAAAACCAGTCACCAATAATACAGGAAAGAAGGAAGGAAGGAAGGAAAAATCCAATCAAAAGCTGGTGTTGTAAAACTCATAAATTATAGGCTGCTATTTCTAATTTCTTCCATTCTAAAAAAAATGAAAGAAAACCCCATTCATTCAATTATTGATGAAATGGAAATAGGACTTACATGTACAGCACATGTAGGTGACATTTTATACGTAACTAAGAAAGAAAAAATCTTACTGAGTCAAAAACCTAGAGCACTACATGTAGCAGCAGATGAAGAAAATTATACTTCCCATATACACATTGCAGGATACGCATTATTTTGGTGTAATTTCAGATTAATGTTGAATTTAAACCTGGTACCTGGGCTGGGATAAGTTTGTTTGCACACTGTTCTTTAGTATATCAAAGCATTAATATGAAACATATCTAGCTGGCAGTAAATTTATTTTCTTTGTATTCGTCAGACACAAGCTGGTGGATTTTCTTCTCTTCTTTTATTTACATTTTTTGTGTGTTTTTCGTTGTAAGAATGAATAATGGAAATATATTTACTGTACAGATAAATCAAAAAATAATGTATCAGTACAGGAACTAAAACCTAAAGCAAGCACAAAACTGGAGCTTTTTCCTAAAAATCTAACAAGATTATTTTAAGAAAAGATTTTCTAAACTTTAAATCAACACATCTGATATAAAACGTTATCTCTAGATACATTTTTAATATCTATACTGTCTAATCTACATGTACATGTGTACATGATAAGACACCAAGATGCATTAAGAAAAACGAGTTCTATCATGAATTATTTCGACAAGGATATGGCGATGTTTTGACTCAGTTTCAGTGTCCTAGCCATCACATCCAGATTAGGACAAAAGCTGTAAAAAAAAATAATAAAGGGTAAAAACATAGGAAGAACAGTAAGTGGATCTAATAGTAAACAGAAATAGACCTACTTAACATCATTTCCAAACCTAAAAATTGTTCACACGTGTAACCCCCATAAAAATGGTAGTTACTAAAATCATATTTTGTTATTTATTCTTTTTCTATCTCTATCTCTCTCTCTCTCTCTCTCTTTCTCTCTCTTATCTCTCTCTCTCTCTCTCTCTCTCTTTCTTGGAATTCTTTTCATCTCATACTTCCATTCTAAGAAACAAACTCTGCTTTGTGCTCCTTATGCAGTTTAGTGCAATATAGGTTTGTTCTCACCCAGATTATTTTCTTCTCCCAGTTTAAGAACTCTTGCTGGTAGATAACTTATTTGCTAGAGCTTTGACCATCAATAACACTGGACACAGTGTTTGGGATTATATTGTCTCCCACAGAATTCGGTGCCCTTTCCCCTTTGTCTATTCCCTTTAATAGGACCCTCTTTACTTAAGTGGTGTTTGCAGGTAGATTGTGTCCCTTCAGGATGTTGCTACTGTTAATCTCTGTATTCAGGAGAAGTATAGTTTTAAGTGGTTGTACTAAGAAAAGATCTAGACGAGCTTTTAGACCATGCTGTAGAGAGCTGGCTTGGAGTATTGGGTTTAAGACAAAGGATGGGTCGTTTTAGTTAAGGATGCAAGCTTGGTCCTATCACATGATGTTAGGTAACCAATAAGAAGTCTAGTTGGAAGGAAGGGTAATGTGGGTCTGGACAGTTTAATAAAACTTTGAAACTTTAAGTTTCCAGCTCATTCTCTGCCCAGCTGCCATTGCTTCGAACACTGCCCTGTATATATTCAATCTCCATGTTGGAGCATGTGCTACTAAATATATCTGTAGCCTCTACCTGATTTTCTTCTTCAAAATATATATATATATATATATATATATATGTGTATATATACAAAACATATATATCAACTTTACCTTCTTCAAGTTTCTCTAAGTTTTGAGAGAGTTTCCTGTATTATATTTGATTGGGCATTCCATCCAACTTCAACCTTTATGAGTTGCATGGTTATCATCCCAGTTCCTGATTTTATGTTGCAAGCAAGTGTTGGCTCTTTTACTAGGTAAGAACACTATATTTTGCTATGTATGTTTTCATTACTCTGTTGTATGAAGTGTGTGTATATCATGATGATATCTATATTTTGCTTGTATGACTCTGAGTGTAGTTTGAGACTGTAGCATACATTCTATAACTTTTTAATTCAGATGTGTGTTATACAAGATTGATTCTTTCTGCTGATCAAACAATTCAGTTAAATGAGAAGAAAAGATTATTATGGGAGATTATTTTGCAGTTATTATACTGCATAGCATGCGAGCCCTAAAATAGCCCATGCTGAAAGATAATTGGCTTTTATTTAGGGTAATGGCAACTCGTGCTAGAGGTCATTGAACTCTCACTAAATTTGGTGGTTTGAGATACTTGGTTGTAGATAAGATTTACTAACCTTATCTACTGATTTACTGGTAATGTGTACTTGCTGTTCATTATGGTTATGCGCAGCGTGGAGCATTATTATGCATATTCAATTGCTGGACTTTTCCATTAATTGTAAAAGTCAAATGTTATTTTGGCAAATTCTAAATCAAGCGATATGGTCAGGTCAATCAGATAGATCGAGCTATCTATCTGTGGCATCCCTATCGCATTCATTATAGCTCATAATGATATGAATGAAAACTCTACTGAACAGTTGGTGCATTATGCTATCTTCATTGCATGCAATTATTGTGATGTATACGTATTTTATTTATATTTACTAACGTGGTATAAGTACTATTTTGAAAAGGATTGTATCATGTTAATCATGAATTAAACTAAGTTATAAGTATAACTGAGTAAATTAAGTTGAAAGAATCGCATTGATTCTTCCAAAGTTAATTAGATAAATCAAGAGGCAAACTCTCATTCTTTTCTTAATTTAATCTATTGAGGGACGAGCTTGTTATATATATATATATATATATATTAATCTTTCCCTCTCTTAAGGAATGTTTTATTAGAAGAGTTCTGTTTATTATGCTCTTTTACTAGGGTCTTTTAATTGATGAATCTCATCGAGCTTCAAGCTATCGTTCGACCTGTTCTTGTTTTCTGCGTGCTGCGACGTCCTCTTCGACGACACAGAGACGCCGGATATTGATCGACCGCGTATCGCGAGCGAGCTTATGAACATTTAATAATTTGGTCACTTAAATATTTAGATAACAGCTGTTCTAGTTATAAGTTATAATACCTTATAATGTTATAGTTGTAGGATGTGGAAGTTTTGTTTATTTCAATGTTTACTTGATTTGCAGTTGTTATTGACAACGAGCTAATAAAGGCATTGCCAGGTTATTTTGTTAAAACGTAACCTCAAGTGTGATTTCTTTATTTATGGACCTGGGAAATTGTGACATTCGGGTTACATAAATTGGGGGCTTGTCCGGGAGCTAAATTTGCATATATGCATAATTAATATTACTTATTTGATAGATATTTTTATAATTACCTTGTAATTAATTAATATCCTCCGTATATTAAGTTTTAATTGCTACTGTGAGCAATTAGCATTATACTATGTTGAAGGCATTGTAATTATCTTCGTCATTATAGTTAAGAGTTTAAGAGCCAACACTTGCACAAGTTAGTAGAAGCAATGGCAGCGAACAGTTTGAAAGAATTTGGGCAGGAGTGGTGCAAGGAGGAGGGAATAACGGCAGATAATGCCCTCCTACTTGTAACACCAACAACGGCAATGCCTGATGAGGTATTTGCCCTGGCGATTTCTGATCGGTTTCCCACGTTAAGTGGTATACTAAGAAAGAATGAGCCAACTAATAATGAAACATTGATACTCTGTATGTTTGAGGGAGCCACTCCCATTGTAGGTGTGGGGAGGGAAATACATATATCGGTAGATGGAGACACTGTGTGCCAGGTAGTTAGGTTAGAAGAGAGGGACCCATCGAATGGAGGTAGGATAACCATTAAGGCCCTGAAGGATAGTGGGTTGGTAGATGAATGGATGAAAGCTAAGGGGGCCACATTGCTTAAAGAAGAGGTTTCCAAGAAAGAAAATGTTTCCCCTAGCCATAGCCCAGCCACAAATAACTCAGATCGGGAAGTCCCTTCATTGTCTGCGTCATTATCAAAATGTGCGCTTACAATAAATTACAGACAATTGCGCTGTTTCTCAGGAGCGAGGAACCCCGCGCGCGATGAGGACACATATCCTTTGTGGATAGAGCACGTTGAGGGCCAGATGGATGAGTGGTGGGATCTTGGAGACGGCGAGCGCCGAAAGCGCATTCGCGAGGCGCTGCGCCCTCCTGCGTCGAGCATCATTACTGACCTCCGTCGTGAGTTTCCCCAAGCAGACTCATATGAGTACCTCAAGGCTTTAGATTTGGCCTACGGGGATACAAACACTGATGGTGAGCTGTTCGTCAAATTCCATAACACCACACAGCTCGAGGGCGAGCGACCCTCTGAGTATCTTTCTCGCCTGCAGGAGATACTGAGACAGGTAGTGAGGCGTGGAGTAATCAAGCCGGCAGATTCCAATCGGGTAAGATTGAAACGGTTTATTAGGGGCGTCTTGTATAATGAGATGCTCCTGGTCAAGTTACATCTCCGGGATAAATTAATCCACCCTCCTTCATTTCTGCAGTTATTATCCTCTGTAAGGAAGCAGGAGCAAGAAGACTCCATGAAGGCCAGCCTCACTCGGCCGAAACAAACAGTAGACCAAGGTAAGCGTGCCGCTGCACATAACTGTGTGGAGGCCCCAGTTCAAATTTACCAAGCTTCTACCCCCTCTGAATCCACCCCTCCCAAGCAGACTCCTCCCAGGTCGCACGGCAACACATCTGAGGTCATTTGCTTCAAGTGTGGGGAGGTAGGGCATATTAGTAAAATATGCAACAGCCCAGCTGCCCCTGAAATTATCAGCAAGAAGTTAATCCAGTTCATTTCTAGGCAAGCAGGGAAACGCCAAAGGACGCCAGGTAAGGAGAGACCAGGAGTCCACCTAAGTACTGCACCCCAACAAGTATGCGATGTTCCTCCAGGACTGGTTGGGGACAGTATCACCCAGAAGTGCTGGGTGGATGGGATAGAGACTACTTCCCTCATAGATAGCGGCTCTCAGGTCACACTCATTCAAAAGAGCTTATTTGCTAAGCTAGATCGAGAGTTGCATCCCATGAGGGATCTAGTGCTCTATCATGGCGGTGACGGAACTCTACCTTACTTAGGCTATGCCTATGTTAATATTGGATTTGAGAAGACCTTTAGCGGGACAGGAACCCAGTTCAGTACTCTAGCCCTAGTAGTGCCGGATGCTCAGCATCAAAGAACCCATTCAGTGGTTATAGGGACAAATTCCGGTCTTTTCCGAAATTGCTTTGAGTCCTGTAAGAGGTTAGCTGGGGTTCGATTTGCACAAACTTTGCAAATCAGTCCTGTGTGTAAGGATATCTATTCTTCTCTCTCTAAGAAACAGACACTCCCCGCCGACGGTAAACTCGGCACCATCAGATCAAGAAAGAAACATGAAATTCATATTCCACCTCATAGCAGTCATACCATAATAGGTCAATGTAGAAACACACTCCGGGCACCAGCGACTGCGGTCATTGAGTCCCATTCCCCAACTAGGTTAGCAAAGGGCTTAGAAGTGATACCCTCGGTAGTTGAAGTCCCTGGGGAAGCCTTTTGTAAGGTCGAAGTTCTACTTGTCAATAAGAGCTCAAAGCAAATCACCATCCCTGGGAACTGCCCACTGGCTGATCTATTCATCCCAGAGTGGTGCCGCCAACCTCCCAATCAGGGCTCTACTAATGCCATCCATGCATCATCTTCTGCTACCAGCGCAGAAATGGACACCACCATTCCACATGATATTGATGTTGCGGACCTCCCTATCAGTTGGGGCCCCATAACCCC